CACCCTTAACATTGACAAAACCTTCTATATTCTGTTTGGCAATAAATCCTCTAGTCTTATAAATCTCAAAATAAACAATACCCAAATTTGTAACAAATTAGATGGCAAATTCCTTGGCATTCTCATTGACCACAAGCTGAATTTCCAGGGACACATTCTAAATATATCTAAAAAAGTTTCAAAAACTGTGGGCATTCTTTCTAAGATCAGATATTATGTACCACGCCCTGCCCTGGTGACTCTCTATTACTCCCTTATCTATCCTTATCTCAACTATGGTATTTGTGCTTGGGGTTCTACTACCCAAAATCACTTACGTCCTCTAATTACCCAACACAAAGCCGCTATTAGAACAATATCCAACTCTGGCCCCAGACATCACTCGGTACCCCTACTCAAATCTCTTAATATGTTAGATATTAAGTCACTGCACATTCTCTCATGTGTATTATACATATATAAAACGCTAAACTATAATGCCAATCCTGATCTTAAAAGCTTCATAGTAGGTTGTAACAGAACCCATGAGCACCACACCAGAAATAAATACAGTTTTGATATTCCTAGAGTACGTCTTAATCAAACTAGAAATGCTCTGCAAATCAAGGGGCCCAGAATGTGGAATGACCTTCCCAACCATGTTAAAGACTGTACCTCTCTCAACCAGTTTAAGATAAAAACTAAACACTACCTAATAAATTCCCTGTAATCTACCTCACTCCTCTATTGTCAACCCATGTCTGTTATTTTTTTTTTTTTTTTTTTTTTTTTTTTTTTTTTTTTTTTTTTTTTAATCAACACTGTTTGTCAACCTATTGTATTTGTGCTGCTTTTTCAGTCATGTTTCCCCCTTTTTTTTATCTTTATTTGTATTTGTTCTCAACATCTTTTATTCTTTATGCTCAATTAGTATTAAGTTCTAGATATTAATGTTTTCTTGCCCGAAACGCATTGCGTAATAGTGGCTTTAGGCATTGTATGTACTAGCTCTATCTATATATCAATCCATTAATGTAACATCACTTGTATGTATATACCTTACCTGAATAAACATCTGAATCTGAATCTGAATGATGACGTCACAGCGCACCTTGTCCACGCCCTCACAGCCAAAGTAAGTGGAATTTGGTAATTATTTTTACATAGACATGTTCAGGGATGGTAATTTATCATTTTACAAAGAAAAATTATATTTTGGGGAACATTTGATGTCATGCACAATGGGGAAATTTCACAATAAACACAGTGCATCACACTGGTTACATGGGGGACACTCGTTTTGTGTGACGTCCGTTTCACATGACGAACATGGAACGGATTAAATTCGTTATGCGAGGTACCACTGTATAACTAAAAATAAATATGCACTATATTAGGCCTAGGAAGGTTAGTTTAGTTTGTCAAAGCAACACAAGTAAAAAATAATTTTCCGGTTTGTCCAACTCAATAGTTCAGATTTTTACTTTCTAATTTCATTGTATATTGATATATATATACTGTGGACCTCATCGTTGCTATAAGTACTACAAACAGGAGGATGGGCTGGAAATAAATATATTTCTGGGGGGAGCCCCGTCGGCTTCCCGGAGCTATCCCAGGCTGATATGCTAATGTCAGACTTTGGCATCAGTCATGTGTATGGAGTTCTTAGGCCTACCGGGGACCACGGCCAGAACCGGGCCCCCTCAGAGAGGCAAGGGGAGCAATGGCCTATAGAAGCCCCCGTGTAGTTGGAAGCATTCTATGTCTGCCATCAACCGGAACAGGCACCCAGAAAGGTAAGCGCCCCAAAACAAACCCCTATTCTGGTTAAAATTGCTACCTAAAACCGAACTAGTGGATAGAACTCCCCAACCGAAAACAAGCAAACTAGTGTGACGTCACACACTGCCGCGCCGCTGTCTGCGCAGCTCCCCCCTCCCCGGGAGGGGGAAGGGGGAGCCCCAGACCCCCCGCGCCGGCTACCCACACCTCAGTTCTTGAGGACAGATCGGGCCGGTACGTCATGTAGCTGGTTCGATCTTCTCCTCGAGTCTTCGCGTATGGTTTTTTTGACTCGAGTCTATCATCATCTCTATGGTGATCAGGTGGCCTCCTTGTTGGTGTCCCACCTGAGGGCTTCTTCTCGGCGGCAGTATGAAGTTTCCTGGCGGTCCTCCCGTTTCTTTTTGCGTCTTCGTCGTGTTAGCTCCTTGTCTGTTCGGGTGGTCTTGTCCTTCCTCTCGTGGTTGTTTCAGGACCGTCATCTTATGCCTAACACTGTCGCTTCGTATCGTGCGGCGCTGGCGGAGCCGCTTCAGCTTGCTTTCGGTATCGATGTTACGTCTGCGCCGTTTCGCAAGCTGTCTCGTGCATTGTTTCACCTCCGGCCTGCTCATGCGTCGCCTGAGCCGTCCTGGTCTTTGGACAGAGTGCTCGCTTTCCTTTCATCTCCTCGTTTCGTTGTGGCCCCTTCGGTCCAGGATTGTTTTTCCAAGGCCCTTTTCTTGTTGGCTTTGGCCTCTGGGGGTCGGGTAGGGGAGCTTCATGCTCTCCTCCGGCGCAGGGGTTTCTGCTCTTTTGGTCGTGGTGATAGTTTTGTTCGTTTGCAGCCGTCTCCTTCTTTTCTGGCAAAGAATGAGACTGCTGCGTTCCGGAGGGGTCCATGGGTGGTTGATGCTTGGTTGGTCAGGCCGGGGGTGCATCATGTTTTGTGTCCGGTTGCGGCGCTTCGCCGTTATTTGTGCGCCACAGCTTCTGTGTCCGGGGACGCGCTGTGGGTTGATCCGGTTTCCCTTCTTCCCTGTTCGCGGGTTCGGGTCTCTCAGGTCGTCCGCAGGGTTATTAGGTCCAGCCAGCCTGCGGTCTATCCCCGTGCCCATGACGTTCGTAAGTTCGCGGCTCTTGCTGCCGTCTTTGGGAATATGTCTTGGTCTGATATTCGGGCGCGGGGATTTTGGCGGTCGAACAGGGTCCTGGCTGCTCGTTACCTTGTGAATGTCCCTGGGCCTCGTCGGGCCTGTGTTGCTTTGGGTCGGCGGTTGCGGCCAGTTGTCTCGGCTTCGAGTTGAGGGGTGAGCGACGACCGCCTCCCGGGTAAGTCCCTCTTTTTCTGTCTGTGGGTAGTTAGCTCCGGGGAGCCGACGGGGCTCCCCCCAGAAAACCAGCATTGAATGTAATGAAACGCCATTTTCTGGGTGAGTCCCGGAGGCTCCCCGGCATCCCTCCCTCCCTCCGGTCGGCGGTTTTTCGCGTTTTTGACATCCAGCCTCAAGAACTGAGGTGTGGGTAGCCGGCGCGGGGGGTCTGGGGCTCCCCCTTCCCCCTCCCGGGGAGGGGGGAGCTGCGCAGACAGCGGCGCGGCAGTGTGAGACGTCACACTAGTTTGCTTGTTTTCGGTTGGGGAGTTCTATCCACTAGTTCGGTTTTAGGTAGCAATTTTAACCAGAATAGGGGTTTGTTTTGGGGCGCTTACCTTTCTGGGTGCCTGGTGCCTGTTCCGGTTGATGGCAGACAGAATGCTTCCAACTACACGGGGGCTTCTATAGGCCATTGCTCCCCTTGCCTCTCTGAGGGGGCCCGGTTCTGGCCGTGGTCCCCGGTAGGCCTAAGAACTCCATACACATGACTGATGCCAAAGTCTGACATTAGCATATCAGCCTGGGATAGCTCCGGGGAGCCTCCGGGACTCACCCAGAAAATGGCGTTTCATTACATTCAACGCTGGTTTTTTGATATCCCCAGGGTCAAACTGAATCTGTGCAAACACTCCATGCAAATAAAAGGACCCAGTCTATGGAACTCACTCCCTAATGAATTAAAAAATTGTCCAATCTATGCCTTATTCAAAAGTACAATAAAAAAAAGGTACCCTAATTTTATCCTCATAGTTTCCTACCCTGTGCTTCAAACTCACACTGTATCTTGTACTACCACTTCCCCAATATTAGTACTTAAGACATATATCCTTACCAGTATAATCACATTTGTCCATTTATATTGTAGTTATTTGTTGATATTAAACTTGTCTACAATGTATCTTTTCATCTTGCCTGATATGTTAAATTAAGGACCTGCCCGAAAAGCTGTGTGTGTGTTTTGCATGAATGTAAAAATACCAGTCTTACAGAATCTCACACACCCATTGTATCGTCTTGTGAATCAATTATTATCATTATTATTATTATACTGTACCTGTATTGTAAATTTTTGTTATCAGTGTGTCTGGGTGTACCTCATAAGGTAAACTACCTCATTTATCTAGAATTATTTTAGTAATTTTGTTAAGTTTATTTTATTATTATTCATAAACCTTCAGTTTTATCAAATCTACTTTTTATCAGATCTTTGCACAAAGAACTCACATTAACGTGATGTATCAATGAGAGAAATTGTTATAGATATTTTCTCACTGATACATCATGTTAATGTGATTTCTCTACACATGGAAAAAGGAACCGTTACAGGCAGAATTCCTATTATACATGTATTTTTATTTTTGCTATTGTTATTTTAATATCAAGAATTCTTTTTGATTGCTCCTAAGTTTTGTTATTCTACTGAAATTACTTTTATTTCTATTATTATTTTATTCTATTCTAATTTTTGTAATTTTGCTAAGTTTATTTTATCACTAATCATATGCCTTCATTTTATATTCCATTTTCATCTCACTAATTATTTATTAATTTTTATTTTTATTTCTATTTTTATTTTTAATTTACTTTCCACACGCCTCCCCCATATTCTAATAAGAATATCCTTAATTCTTATCCATTCTTACTCCATACAAACTGCCATTGACCCTGAATTAAATTTGCTATCACATATCTACAATAACCAGCACATTGATCATCACTATTGCAGTTACTACACAGCAAACCTTGCAAAAAATAAACTCCAAAATAACACTAACCTGTCAGTATTCAACCAAAATGTCAGATTATTTGGTAAACATTTTGATGACATTAATGCACTACTTGAAGCACTAGGTACTGAATTATCTTTCATTATTTTAACAGAAACATGGCAAAGTAAACAACATACCCAACCTTACAACTTAGCCGGATATAAAGCCATTCACAACTACAAGCCTGACAAAAAAGGAGGTAGTACAGCTATCTATTATCCAAGTAAGTTCAATTGCACAAGTGTTATTAGCAATATAGACGACTACTGTGAATATACAGTGGAACCTCTATTAACGAGTTTAATCCGTTCTGGCACCGAGCTCGTTACCTGGAAAACTTCTCTTAAGGAACAAATTTCCCCATTTAAAATAAAGGAAATAAATTTAATCCATTCCATTCCCAAAACCATCCCCAAAACCATCCATACTTGTATGACATTTTTTTATGTAAATATATTATTGCATATGTAATTATAAATGTTTTGTTGTACTGTTTTAATGTTTACTTTACCTTATAAAAAGTCGTTGCTGGCTTGAGGGAGACGAATCCACCTTTGAGTCAGGCGGGCTCTCTCTTCTTGGGAATTTCACCCCACAGGGACCGGGTTGTGGTTCACTTATCACTGGCTCTTCTTTTCTCTACTTTTGCAGAGAACGTGTCTATTGACAATTGCTTTTGTCTTTGTTTTAGGATGTCCCTTAAACGATACAGCAAATTGTTATTAAACATGTTTACACACCGGGTTGTCATTGCTTTATCAGGTTGATGCTTTTCCAAGACTGCAGTCACCTTTTCAAACATTCCCAACACTTCCCTGATCTCACTGGAAGAGGCAGCATCCTCCCTTACCTTCTCATCCCTTTACAAATGGTGTAAATTGTTGATGAGGACCTGCCATACTCCCTTGTGAGATCAGTCACACAGACACCATACTCGTGCTTTGCTATAATTTCCTTCTTCAAATCCACAGTAATTGTGTCTTTGTTCCTCTTGACAAGACTATCTTTAGCAAGCAGCTTCTTTGGCGACATCGTGCGTTACAAATTGTAGTCACAAAACCACTAAAAATCCAAAGAAAAGCGCAAATAAATCCAGAGGGATGCTTGTCTTGTGCGATACAACAACAACACTGGCGTCAGAGGCATTCAAGAATTTGCAAGAACCCGCGAGATGCTAGGAAGCACCATGTGGTTTTGCTCGTTAATAGAGGTGAGCTCGTCACTGGAGACAAATTTGCTGCGAGTGGCTAGCTCGTTACTGGAAAAACTCGTTAATAGAGCCGCTTGTTAATAGAGGTTCCACTGTACCTTTGCTCAATTCTCGGTCAAATCACTTAAATCATCAATAACTATTGGAACTATTTATAGATTTCCCAATACTAATACAACTGCATTCTCAGATAACCTATGGAATCTAATCATAAACAACAAACTTAAAAAAATTCACGTCATCTTAAGAGGTGAGTTCAACATTGACCTATGTCAACAAAATAGCCCCTAAGTTGACTACTTCCTAAACAGCATGATCTCCTATATGCTAATCCCCACGATTACATCTACTACTACCTTAGGCCACATATGGACTAGAATAACAGGCCCCCCCCCCTTGCCTGTGGTATAATCACTACTGAACAACCGATCAATATCCTACCTTTCTCTCAGCAAACATGGACATAGTACCTTCAGATACCAGGAAACTTACCTTCATATTACGCAGCAAAACAGCAATAGGCAATCTCATTAATGCACTTCACAATAAAAACTGGTACTAATCCGAATTCAATAATACACAGGATTATTGAATTCATTAGCCGGCATCTTCCTCTACAAAACTACAACACACACTGTTCTCTCCTCACTAAGCAAGTATCTGCCAAAAGGTTGAACAACCCCTGGCTTACAAGTGGCATACTTAAAGCAATTAACAATGAACACGAATATGAAAAAAAACATAGGATTGGCCTAGTTATGAAGGAAGTACAGTGGCACCTCTATTAACGAGCGGCTCTATTTATGAGCATTTTGAGTAACGAGCGAGCTACTCACAGCAAATTTGTCTCTATTGACGAGCTTCACCTCTATTAATGAGCAAAACCATATGGTGCTTCCTAGCGTCTCGTGGGTTCTCGCAAATTCTCGGACGCCTCCGACGCCAGTGTTGTTGTTGTTGTATCGCGCATGACAAGTGTAACAGTTCTATTGTTACGTAAAGTATGGTGACAATAAACACAAACACTAAGATAATATACTGTACTGTAACCCCGCGATTATCCGGGATTCGAACATCCGAAAAACGCCCTTATACGGCCAAAATCGTGAACGGATAAAGTTATCACAATATCCGGCCAAAATAGCCACAGGGACCGGATTAAAGCAGGTTTTCTGCAGAAATTACACTATCGGGTCAGTCCCCCAGATAATCGTGCCTTTGTCCGTATATGAAAACATGAGGCAGGCCATACGGTATTAATCCCGTCTGCCCGAGACTCGAGGAGCATGGTGTAGGTGGGGGTGGGGTGGGTGGGTGGTGTTGGGAGGGTGGGAGGGGTGCGTCAGGAGGGACTACCTGGGTACAGGAATTACCATTAATTTTAGAACAATTATTCATAGCCAAAAACAAATAAAATAACTACTAGTAATTATGTAATAACAAATAAATAAGTTTCCTAAAAGCATTGTGCACAGGCTGAAGTTTCCTTAAAAAATATTGTGAATTTTTTTCCTCCTGGCGGCCTACGTAACGCTATGGCTGCCCCAAGTGGACCTGTCCAACACTGGTCAACCCATGTGCGTCTGTCCCTCGTGTTAAACACAGTGCTGCGCCATTAGTGAAATATTTTTTTAAATAACTTTCTTAATTTTCATAGTAATTTTGAACATTTTTGGCCAAGAATATGTCTGGTAGCAGCATCAATCGTTCTGGAAGTGTTAAGAGGAAGAAGATTGTCCTAGCAATTAAAGACAAATTACGTGTTGTTCAAACAGTGAGGCGTCACAGGCAGCCAAGCGCCTTCAACAAGTGAGGCGCCACAGGCAAGCCAAGCTCCTTCAACAAGTGAGGCATTATAGGCAAGCCAAGCGCTTTCAACAAGTGAGGCGCCACAGGCAAGCCAAGCGCTTTCAACAAGTGAGGCGCAAGGAAGCGCCTTTAACAAGTGAGGCGTCACAGGCAAGCCAAGCGCCTTCAACAAGTGAGGGCATGCAAGCGCTTCAACAAGTGAGGTGCAAGCAAGCACCTTCAACAAGTGAGGCCTCACAGGCAACCCAAATGCCCTCAACCAGTGAGGCTTCAGCAGCTGGCAGTCAAAACTAACTTAGCTTAATGAACTGTACAGTAATTTTAAGTGTTAATTTTAGTGTTGTGTTAGTATAGGTTACGTAAATTGTTAAGAATTTTTAACTTCAAGATGTGTGGCATCAATCAAGAAGACGAACACCAACAAGGTAAGTTGAGGTTTCTAGTTGAATATTTAATAATTGTATGTGGCAAGGCAATTCAAATTATGTTGTTTGTAGTATAAAAATAGTTGGAAATGGTCACTTTTGGACTCGTAGGTGGAAAAGTACCATTATCCGAAAAATGTGATAATCCGGCTGGGGGTCCTTCCCATATAGTCCGGATGATCGAGTGGAGACAGTATATATATTTGGTCAAGTATACAGAAGTACGCAGGTGATACTTTGGTGCGAGTTGAGCGCACTGAGCGTCGTTACAGTATCTCACAAGTGTCTCTCCTAGACCACACTTGAAAGTAGACTAGTTATTATTCGCCACTCTGCTGCTTATATGCTCGGGCAACACCTCACCATTCTCCAAAGGTTGACAGGAATAGTATGTGGAAGTTGGGATAGGTTTGAGTTCTATAATTAGTACCAAGAAGAGCTTTGCTTCTCTCATCAGGCTAATGCGTTTGGAGCTAGTATATTATTGGGATAATCCACTCATTACACAAGCTTCCCTCTGCATTTATTTGTGCTTTTCTTTGTTTTTTTTGTGGTTTTGTGACTACAATTTGTAATGCACGATGTTGCTAAAGAAGCTGCTTGCTAGAGATAATGTTGTCAAGAGGAAGAAAGACACAATTACTGTGGATTTGAAGAAGGAAATTATAGCAAAGCATGAGCGTGGTGTCTGTGTGACTGATCTCACAAGGGAGTATGGCAGGTCCCCATCAACAATTTACATTATTAGTAAGGGAAGGAGGAGGTAAGGGAGGATGCTGCCTCTTCCAGTGAGATCAGGGAAGTGTTGGGAATGTTTGAAAAGGTGACTGCATTCTTGGAAAAGCATCACCCTGATAAAGCAGTAACAACCCGGTGTGTGAACATGTTTAATGACAATTTGCTGTCTCGTTTTAGGGACATCCTAAAACAAAGACAAAAGCAATTGTCAATAGACACGTTCTCTGCAAAAGTAGAGAAAAAAAAGAGCCAGTGATAGTGAACTACAACCCGGTCCCTGTGGGGTGAAATTCCCAAGAAGAGAGAGCCCGCCTGACTCAAAGGTGGATTCTCCTTCCACACCATAACCCCTCTCCTCCTTCCCACCTCCCCATCGTCTCCCTCAAGCCAGCAATGACTCTTCATAAGGTAAAGTAAACATGAAAACAGTGCAACAAAACATTTATAATTACATGTGCAGTATTATATTTACATTATAAAATGTCTTACAAGTATGGATGTTTTTGGGAGTGGAACGGATTAAATTTATTTCCTTTATTTTAAATGGGGAAATTTGTTTCTAAAGACGAGTTTTCCACATAACGAGCTCAGTGCCAGAATGGATTAAACTCGTTAATCAAGGTGCCACTGTAGTTAAGAGATACATGTACTCATCAATGCTTACCAGAATAATAAGAGCCAAATTTTCCTTTTATGAAAGTAGATTTAAAGAAGCAAAAGGAAATATAAAAAGCACATGGAAAGCACATAGAAAGAAAATCTCTAGCATCCTAGGATCTAAACAACAGTCACATAACTAGCAAATAAAACTCTCCAAGGATGGTTACACACTTGCAACAAACTTAGAAATGGCAACTGAATTTAATAGCTTCTTTTCATCAATTGGTGCAAACCTTGTCAGAAAAATCCAAGAGACCCCAGATACATGTTACTACATATTAGCAGTCCACGTGGTGAAGTGGTAACACACTTGCCTGGCATTTCGCAAGCCTTTTGGCCAAGGTTCATATCCTGGCTGGGGCGGATTGGAATTGGGTGCCA